TATTTAGCAAATCCATCCATCTCTAAAAATATTCTTTCCTAAAAAAATAGTCTGAGACTACAGAAAGAAATTGTATGTATCATGATATGTTTATCTCTGTTATCTAAAACACAACAACAAAAACATGAAATAATCTGGATATTTTTTAACAGATTAATTAAATGAAGATCGACTGAGAAGATGAACTATTCTGCAGTAATAGAAAACGGTGCTATGGAGGACTATTTAACCATTTTGGGAAATGTTCATTAAGTTGTTGAGTGGGGGAAAACTAACAAAATAAGTATGCGACTCATCTCACTCTGATTTTTTAAAAAGATAGCTCTCACTAGAAGGAGTCAAATGTTAAGAGTAGTTATTTCTGGGTCCACCCTCCCTTTCTCCCTCCTTTGGTTCCTTCCTTCATTCTTCCCTTCCTTTCTTCCTTCCCTCCCTTTTTTCCTTCTTTTCTTTTTTGTATTTTCCAATAAATCCAACAAACCTGTGCTGCATTTGTAATCAGATAAAAGAAATATTTCTTTTTTAGATGAAAGTCTGAGAAGGGGCTACTCAGGAACCACTGAAGGTGGTAGGTGGAGTTTGTGGTTGCTGGAAGCAGAGAAGAGGGAATGACTAGCAGGACTGGCAGAAAATATTCTGGTATTAAAATATCCTCCCACCCCCTTTTCCCACTTATCTAAAGAGGATGTTTTGAATGAATTTATGAGAAAAGTCAGCAATTAGGCTTCTTTGAAAGGAGGCTGGTAGTTTTCATCACTGGTGGTTAGTCCAGGTGAGCCCTGACTCCTTTCTGACTCTGAAAGCTTCTGGAGTAGGGCAAAGTGGCTGAGGCTGTCTTTGGTGTCACCCTTCTTCCTCCCAGTAAGCCAAGCTGGTGCCATCTCCACCCTGTGCTGTGCTCTCCCAGGAGGCCATGCCCACCTATGAAGGTCTTGTGTTTACTCAAGACTCTGGACTTTAATCCTGGGGGCAATGGGAGCCGTTGGCAGGGGAACCATCCACTCTTAATCCTGTCTTCACCTACTGAGATCGGTAGGCTAACCTTGCCAGGACCAAAAGAAAAAGAATCAATCAGGTAGAAGTTGTAGGTGGAAGAGATAGGGAGATGGAACTGGGGTGAGTGGAGGGATACAATCCTACCACAAGAACTGCTTAGTGAGCATCTCAGCCCTTGCATATCAACCTTTCTCATCTCTTTAGTCATCAGCATAGGGCATAATGACTACTCTCCACACTGCACCCCATCATGTACTTATTTCATTAAGTATTCACTGGCACAGATGCTGCCACCTGACCCTTCCTGAGGTTGGGGATGCCAGTTCTGCTCCCTACAGCATTATTGTTCTTCAGAAAGATGAGATTGCTATGGCGGCTGCATTTCCCATGATGTCATGACTAACTTACACATGTCTCAGGGATGCATCACCCAACCACACTTCTAGTCCAAGTTTGAAAGTCTTCATAACTCTTTTCTTTCAAAATATTTTCCCCTTTTTGTTTGAATGGCAGAAAAAAATCTAAAAAGCGAAAAAACTCCAAAGACCATAAGGCTAGCTAGCAATGGGCCACTAATGCCTGAAATGATTATCATTAGAGATTATTTCTTTGGGTCTAGGAAGCCTTTGGATGGATGAGAGACCACCAACAACAGTTCAGTCTTTGGCTGCCATCCTGACTTCTCAGCTCTACAGATGACAAGCTAAGAGGTGCTAGGTGAGTAAGGCCCCGCTCTGGCTTCTAAGGGGCCTTTTCGCTCTAGTTGAGAGAAGACTGTGTAGAGGGTTATGGGGAAAAAAAAGGAAGACAAGTTATAAGACTGTCACAATAATCCAGGCAAAAGATAATGGTAACTGGCACCAGATTGGTGTTTTAGATACATTTTCAAGGTAGAATTTGCTGGTAGATCTGATATGGAACAAAAAGTCAAGGATGACTTCAAGATTTTTGATCTGAGCAATTGGAAGGATGGAGTTGCGATTTAAGGAGAAGCAAAGACTGTGAAAGGGGACAGGGGTGGGATGCATCAGAAATTCAGTTTTGGACATATGTTTGACATGCCTGTAGACACCTCCAAGGGGAGATGTTGAGTAGCTAGACGAATATGTTATATGTCTGGAGTGGAAAAATCTAGGGTAAAAATATAAATTTGGGAGTTGTCAGCATATAGATGGTATTTAACACCATGGGACTGAATGAGGTCACCAAAGAATGAATGTATATGTTGAGAAGAAAAGCAGCTCAAAGATTAACCCAGGGCACTGCAGAGTACATAGGTTAGGAGAGTGGGTAGGAACCAACAAAGAACTAATTTTTGAGTTGTCAGTGAGGTAGGTGGAGAGTCAAGAGAAGAGTGGGCCTGGAGACCAAGCGTATATAATATTCCAGAAAGAAGAAGAGATCAATTGTGTCAAACTCTACGGTTAGGTTGGGTAATGGAGGTCATTGCTAAACTTGTACAGAGTCAGTGCTCAGCAAATGAGAGAATGAATGAGCACAAATTTTCCCCCAATTATATTTGATCAGGACCCAAGAGATCAGGGACTTTGTTTCTTCAGGAAGAGTTTGATGAATCTAATAAATGATTGTAGAATTATTTGAACGAAATACCTTTTCCCTTAGTGTCTAAATTCTTCCTTAGAGTCATAAGGGGTGAGAAATTTCACAAAGTTCCCAATCTCTGGAAGCCAGGTAGTCTGGAATTGCCTGTGGCCATTTCTCTGTACAGTTCCACACAGCCATACAACACCCCAATCCCTTCAGGGCAAAGGAGTCACCAACATCTAAAAAACAAATACTGTCCTCCTGAAGTTACAGGAAAACACCTGTAAACTGACTCAAATGAGTGTAGTTCATTTTATTAGGTTCCTGTAAGTAACCACATTCTTGAGATAATTAACTCATAGCATTGTTGAATAGGTCTTTTCTTGGAAATTTTGATGATTCAAAGCATATTCCCATAAAATACCAGTGAAAACTTGAATCTAAAGCTGCTGGACCCTGATGCATTTTTCTCTGGAAAGAGGAAGATTCTACTTTGAGGGCAGTCATTCCATAACAGCTCCCCTTTCTTGGGTGCTCAGAGACCCCCCTAAGAGACATGGCTGTCAATAAAAGGAATTGTTTCCTTTACTGGATAGCTTTTCCTGGCCACCCTTGTCTGTGAGTATTGGGCAAAATTTATTTGTTTTTTTAAACAGTCCATTTCTGTTATCCAGACAGCAATCCCTCCATTCTCCTGGTATGTTCGGGGGCATTTGTATCTCTCCCTTTTTAGTCATTTATTTCCCAGCTCTTGTGAGCCCCTCTGTCAGGGTAGAGGGAAGGACAGAATACCAGCCATCCACGTGAATAATTTTGGGGAAATGTTTTATAGGGGATATGGTTGAAACAACTGGCTAACATGACATTTTATACAATTTTGTCTTTCTCAGTGTGTCTGGGACTCACATTAGTTCAGTTAATTGGCCCCATGGTGGATTTAGTAAGAGGTCACACAAAAGACACAGGCCCTTTATCAGATGTAAGCTCTACCCTAGACACTCACAGGCCTAGGGACTGTGGTCATTTAGTTTATGTTTGTTTAGAAATGAATAATGGTCACTTGCAACTAACTTACCAAACTTTGCTCTTCTAGGGAGAATCATGAACTCTCGGGGCTCGAGCCCCTCAAGAGGCCATCTCGACTCACTCATTCTGGACCTGACCCTGGAAAGGAACCCTTTTTCCAATATGCCAGACAGATGCCCTTGTCTTTTGCTGTGAGCCCTGCAGTGATTCAGTTCTCAACCAAGGTGGGCAGCCCCTAAGATCCAGACAGGCAGGAATGTGTTAGAAAATCTTGTTACAGGTTGAGCTGAAATCAGGCTTCACCTATTTTTGCTCTCTGGAGCTACTCAAAACACATCTAGTCCCTTCCACAAACTAATCCTTCAAATATCTGAAAATACCCATGTCTCTGTGTTCCTCCAGTACCAATAGTTTAAATAGATAGAAGTAAACTTTGTTTTATTCTACCTTTTTTAAAGCAAATAAAAAGTAAGACATTACCAACATGGTGATGACCCTGCGCACCCATCTCTAGTCACACACTCCTCTTCTCCCCACCCCCTCTACATGCTGACATATTTATCTGGCCTCTATGGGATCTGAATGCAGAAGAGCCCCTAGCAGAAGCCTTTACAGTGCAGTGATTAATAGAAGAAAGTGGCAGTCATAGAGTAGAGTTTAAAGGTGATGCACATTTATAAACTGTGTTTATAAACTGTAAAATCTGGGCAATTTATATAATCTTTCTAAGCTCCATTTCCTCCTCTGTAAAATGGAAAGAATCCTACTTATTGCCCCAGCTGTTGTGGGGATGAAACAAGATAGTGCTCCTAAAGCGTTGACACCTGGCACTTAAAGTCGCCATTCCATTTATTCTCTCCTGCTCCACCTCACTGAAGAGGCCTAGAAGCAGGTGAAGAGGTTTGTTCAAGGTCACAGCTGGTTAACAGCAGAGCAGGACCTAATCCTAGACCCCGAGCCTGCTGCTCCACACCGCTTTCGTTGGTGTCTGCAGCTGCCCGCCTTGTCTCTGCGGATCAGAAGCTCACCCCGTGTCCCGCAGTGTCCACTATACTGGGAAGACCTCCCCGTATCAATTGCCTACGGTAATTGCAGTGAGCTCGGATCATGGCTTTTTGACAGTCAGGAAAGGTGACGTAGATCGACGACACCAGCTCTCTAGGAGTAATCAAAGGTTAAAGGTAGTTCTAGGCACAGCCCAGACTGGGATTCCTGCCGTTTGCATTCCGATGTGGCCACCTCACCCTCCCAGCCCCGCCCGCGGGCGGCTCCCGCGGCCTCGCGGACCTAGGCCAGCGTACCCGGAGCAGGGGGCGGCGAGGCTCCGGGCCAGGTGGCCGGGGGCGGGGCCGCGGCGCCGAGCATCGGAGGGGGCGGGGCCAGGCCGCGCGTTCCGGTCCCGGGGCGTGGCCTCCCGCAGGTGCGCCCGGCGACTCCGGTTTCCCTGAAACTTACCCGGCCCTGGGGAGGCGCGCGGAGGCTCGGATTAGGGGCAGCGAGAGGCTGGCTTTCTCTCGGTGCGGCGAGTGGAGTTCTGAGTTTCGAATCCGTGGCGGCGGATTCCCCGCCCGCCCGGCGTCGGGGCTGCGGGAAGGATGCGAAGCCTGAGCGCGGCGTGGCTGCTGGCGGGTGCCATCCTGCTGGCGGCCTCTGCCTCCTGCAACCGCACCATCCAAGGTGAGACACTTGGCCACGGAGGGCTCGTACGGCTGCGGAGCTGGGGTCCCGGGCGCGCTGGGCAGGTGGTGGTAGCGGGGCAGGTGTGCGAAGGGTGTTCTGCTGCCGGCACCACCACCTCCCCGCCTCCCTCAGCCTCCCCTGGCTGGCTTTGATGGGGCATCTCTGAGCCAAGGGGCAACCTGGTAGGACATCCAGGAGCAGCTGAAGTCGGCAGAGCCCGGCAGGAGGCAGAGAGGCCCCCCAAAACCCCATTTACCGAGAGGTTCTCGTGCTAGCCACCTCCACCCTGCAATGGGGTTTCGGGGAAGGGGATGGAAGGAAGGAGTAAGTCGTGTCTAACGGTACCCAGAGGACTGGGTCGCCTCCCCCGGGCTGGTGTCTTTGTAAACACTAAGTCATTAGGAACTTTTCGCACACCCTGGCGACTTCCTCCTGCAGGTCCTGTGGGGCCCCTGGCGTTAGTGAGTAGATGGCGCAGGCAGGGTGGCGTGGGTGGGAACCCGCGGCCCGGGAACCTTGCTTTTTGCGCTCGCCTCCAACCACTGGAGCCCTTTCTTTGGGCTCTGCCCACGGCGTTCAAGACCTACCCGGGGCCTGCAGCTCCTAGCACCCCCGGTGCATGGCCTGGGTATGCAAGTCAGGGCGGTACCCTGCGGGGTTCTCGTGGTAACGAGCGCTCAGCCTCGAGTTTTGGGCCACTTGGCTGTCACGTGGATTTATGAGTGGAGCTTCTTGGACCCTGCTTTGTATTTGACCAGGTGACCTGGCGCTGTGACGGGCGGCCACTCATGTTTGTAGGCCAGAAGCTGTCAGCCTTGGGAACAACACGAGCGGTCCCGGGCGGCGCTCGGGTGCCGGGTTGTGCCCGGCCGCCGCCTTCCGCGGGTGTGCTGCTCCGGGTGTGCTCGAGCTGTTCTAGGAGCGCGTCTCCAGGGCTGAGCAGGCCTCTCTGGGCGTGGCGGGGGTTTGGCCTTCGATCGCGACTGTGATGCTGAGACCCCGCTGCTTGGGGCAGCCTGGGTAGCATTAAAAGGAAAGTTTTAATTTCCCTGCGAAATTTGCAGATCTGCTGTAAAAGGCGGTTTCTGACTTTTATCTTCCTCTTCATAAAGACGAAGTAAAAGAGCTAAACACAGTGAATTGGAATTCGATTGAAAAATGTAGTTCTTTTTCCTCTGGAATTACAGAAAAGGGTGTTACGGTGTAAGCTTAAGCTTAAACTGCGCACCGCTGGTATACGTTTTATTAATCAGTATCAGAATAAAGGCATTTTTTCTGGGAAGTATTGAAAAATGTAATTAACACCTCTCCATTTGCCTGTCTTTTAAAGTTGGAAACTTAAAATTCAAGAGCAAAGGTTAATGCGTGGAAACGTTTTTCAAAAATATGTGGATGTAGATAATTCAACACTTTTATGATTCAGACAGTTCCTATAGGAAGCATACCTGATTATTTGGCTTGTTCTGATTTACAAAGTGAGGGGCTGGGGCCGGGGAGATCCCTAGAGTATAAGGTGAACCTGACTTAACAATAAAATAAAATCAGGTTACTTGTTAACCAGAGCTATTTAATATTGCACCTTGTTCCTGACCCCTGGCCTTATACTTTTATTCCTTTGCAGAGTAACTCTCTTAAAGGGTTAGTTAAGTACACTGACACTCGAGGTAGATGGAGCTTTCCTCCTAACTTAAAACTAAATTGATTTTGATAAGAAATAGAGCGTCAGCAAAGCCTTTCTGTCCCTCAAGGCAGGTCTTTGCTCATCCCTTTTCAGATCGGTCCCCTGTGCTCCTCACTTTGCTACAGGGCAGATACTGCCTTTGATTTTCTTCCCAAACCAAAGGACTGCCTCACAGAAAGGAACTCAGCCCAGAATACAGCCTTCTTGTGTTACCAGTGGGAGACACTGAACTGGGGAGGGAGCAAGGAAAGAAAAACACTCCCTCAGGCCCCTGGCCCCCTTTCTTTCCTCTCACAATAGTAATTGATAATTATTTGCATTGATATGTTTCATCTGTGTCCCCACTGCATCATAAACTCCTGGAGGCCAGGGACCCTACCATCATCTCCATGGCAGTGTCTGGCACTGTCTGATCGCCTAAAGGACCTCAGTAAATAAGGAATGAAGAATGAATGAGGAGACTTGCTAGAGTGACCTGGCTGATTGAAGGCAGTGTGGCATTTAAACCAGCTTATAACTGGTTTTTTAATTATAGAAGTAATATGTGATCACTGTAGAGGAAAAATGAGCCAAAAAAAGAGAGGAAATTTTTAATTAAATCACCCCAAACCTTAATACCTAAAGTAAGCATTGCTAACATTTTGGTTTATATTCTTTCCTATACTTTCATACTTCCATGCATAAAATATGTATTCACAAATATATAAAATTATATCATAAGCTTATATATTTTATATGCTAAGCCTTTGTATTATATAAGCTGATCAATAGCATGTCAATACACATAAAACATTTTTAATGCCTCTAAAACAGGAGGATGTATCATAATTTTTAAATTAATCCTTTGTTGATAGACACATGGTATTTCCAGTGTTTTGTAATATGGCAGAACACTATAATGAACTTGAAGGTGGGGCTTTAAATTTGTGTTTGGTCCCCTTGCTTGCCTGTAGTTACTAATTAACCTTGATGGGTGATGTTTTCGTGAAGTCTGTATTTGGCTTTTTTATGGTTTTAATAGTTGGGCAAGTATTGAGGAAAACAGTTTATCGTGAAAGAACACTTGTGAAAATGTACTAAAAGTGTACCCAGGGAGGGGTAGCTGGCAGTGGAAACCTTGTCTTTTTCAGCCTGTGTTCCCAAAGGTTGGGAGCAAAAGAACATTTGGGGTGAAGGGATCATAGAGAAGAGAGGGTGAGAAGAAGAAAGTTAACACAAATAAAGTACTTGCTCTATACTTAGTTTGATGGGGAGGGTGGGCCACAGGAGGAGTATCCTTAAAAGAACAAGTAGTGCTTTTTAAATTAAAAGTTTTAAGTTCATTTTTCTTCCAAATTGTATAAATTAGAAGGATCTAAAAAAAGTGAAAATCTCCCATTCTCTCTCCTCTCCCCTCTCAACTAGACTTTTCTATGCCCAAATAATATATTTTATAGTAATAGAAGAATTGTACTGTACAGGCTGTGTTATTTATTGATTGATTTATTTACCTAATCTAGTCATGGTCAGTGTATAGAAATCTGTTCATATTTTTACAGGGGGGCTATTATTCATTGCACAAATTTCATGAGTAATTGAATTAGTTCCCTTTTGATAGATGTTGAGATTAACATTTTTGTTTTACCATGATAAATAATGTTCCAGTAAATATTCTTGTACATAAAGTACTTTGGTGCACTTTAGTTAGTATGTGCAGGACAAATTCCTAGAAGTAAATTGCTATGTCATAGGGCCAAGTACATTTTGAATGTTGATATGTTTTGCCAAATTACCCTCCAAAAAGATTGTACCAATTTATACTCCTTTGGGATAAAAAAAAATCCAAATAATATAGAGGGGCGTAGAGTAAAGAGAAAAGTTCCCCCCTCCCCAGCCATTCTACTCTGCAGAGGTAGCCACTTTTTATTGTTTGTTGAGTATGGACTTCAGATTTTGCAAATAAATGTACATTATAAATTTATCATACAAATGCGAGCATATTGTTCTGCCAGTTTCTGTTTTCAATTGACAGTGTATTGTGGCTGTCTTTCCATTTCAGTATTTATTGAATAGTATAATGTCTACTTTTAGTGCTGGGGACTGTGCTGGGGGTGTGGTAAGTCAGGACTAGGGGGCCGATGTACATTACCTGTTTCCTGCTTGTCTGTCGTTGGGGCAGGGATGCTGCCTTGAGCATCGATGGGTGTGTGGTTTTGCATACTTGGACAAGAATTGTTGATTACAGCCCTAGAAATGGGGATGCTCTTATAGCCAGGTGCTTTATATATGTTTAAACTTCATAGGTGCACTAAGTCTCTCCACAACCCTGTGAAATAGAAATGATTTCACCTGGTATACAGTTGGGAAGCTGGGATAGCACCAGTTCTTTGGGGAAGGTCTGTGAGTTTTGGTGAGTGGTATAGGACACTACACAGGGCCCGAGCTTATGCACTAGGCTGAAATGGCTTCAAGGACCTTCAAGCAGTGTCTTGACGTTTTATACCAGTGTTTAAAATACAGTGAATATAAACAGTATTTTTGATTGAAAGCATTCAAGGTTATATGTTGGAATATTATGAGAAAAATATTCTTCCTTTTAAAAAATTTCTTGTACCTAACCCAAAGCCACATTTCCTTTTTTATATTGCCTTTCCTTGCTCTTTTTTCCCCTTTATTTTAGCATTCTTATTTAAAATAGATTTTTGAGCTCTCCTTACATGAACCTTCCTGACTTGGGATATGCTTGTTTTTATGGAAAATCATAACCATAGAGAAGTAGATTATTATAGTGAATCCCATGGACTTACCACTCGACTTCAATAATTAACTCTTAGCTTAACTCTTAGCTAATCTTGTTTCTTCTATACCCCAACCCACCTCCCACCCCTCTTCCATGTCGTATTTTTTAACTGCTGTATTGAGATTTCCATACCATACAATTCACCTATTTAAAGTATACAATTCAGTGGCTTTTAGTGTATTCGTAGAATTATACAACCATCACTACAATCAATTTTAGGACATTTTCATTACCCCAAAAGAAACACCTTAGCTGTCATCCACCAATCTTCCCATCTCAGCCCTTGGCAAATACTAATCTACTTTCTATTTATGGATTTGTCTATCCTAGCTATTTAATATAAATGGAATCATACAGTATGTGGTCCTCTGTGACTGGCTTCTTTCACTTAGCTTATGTTCATCCATGTCATAGCATGTAGCAGTATTTCATTTTTTTATTGCATAATATTCCATTGTATATATATACCACATTTTCTTTATTTATCTATTGATGGATATTTGGGTTGTTAATACTTTTTGACTATTATGAATAATGCCACTGTGAACATTCTTGTAAAAGTTTTTGTGGGGACACCTGTACACCTAGGAGTAGAGTTACTGGGTCATGTGGTAACTCTCTTTAAGCATTTGAGGAACTGCCAGATAATTTTCCACGGTGACTACACCATTTTATATTCCCACCAGCAATGTCCGAAGGTTCCAATCCCTGTCATTTGGAAATAAATCCCAGATATAATTTCATCCTAAAATATTTTAGAATGTATTCATAAAAGATGAGGGATTTCTTTTCAAACATAATCATAATACCATTATAGTATCTTC